TATATAATGTATATATTGACGTGATCAGTAACGGATATCCCGCCAGTGGGGGGGGGGCTCTTTCCTTGATCACTTTCCAATCATGGTGGATGCTGTTTTCGATTTAGAAAAACAGGAAGTTTTCTAATATAAACCTGATGTCAGGGTTTGAGGATGAAATATTTCTGAGTGTCTTTTGACGCAGTTTTGGGACATGTGTTGGGGTTATATTCAGTTTAATTCTGTTAACCATGGCTAAGAGACTTTACTTAAAAACTTAAGAATTTGTCCAAAATCACTGGACACTCCACCTTTCCGTCTAACTGGAAGACAGTTAAAGACAATTTACGTTGACACAAAAGGTAATAAAGGTAAAAGAAGACACGTGCGCACTAAAATCAAGGAAAAGTGAATGCAAACAATGTATTTTGAGTGTGAAATATGCAATGTAAGACTGTGTATCAATCCTTGTTTCGAATTATTTCACACACAGCAGAATTTTTAAATTGGAATTTAATTTCCTACAGGTAATTCTTGTTTTTTTTTATTTCGTATTTGTAAAATTTTTTTTAGGTTTATAGTATTTATTTCTGTGTGTATAATTATGATTTTAGTATTTTGCCAGTTTATGTCTATTAATCTGATATTCTTAATATTAATACATTAAAAAACAAAAACATTAAATACACAACTTGAAGTCATAATGTAAAAATCCTGATTTTATACGATTTGTTTTGTACAATTACCTGGGTGAAAAAATTAGGCTTAACTGCTGAAGATGCGCGGGCCGGTGGTGACAATCCATTTCAGCGGGTCTGGTCCCGTGACTGCTTCGTTCTCCTGGCGCTGGTCCTTAAGGGGTTAATCCAAAAGGGCTATTAATCTCAAAATGGAACTTCATATTGTCCACTGTAAATTCGTTTCACTTTTCACTCAAATCTCTGGCCATTTTTGCAAAATGTAAGATATTTATCTTTCACATCTAATCTGTTACTGATTAACAGGCTAAGTTATATTTCGTCACTTTTCAAGTATACAGAAGATATATAAAGCTTTGTGGTATCATTATCCTATAAAATGTTTCTGTATTTCTCCTGGGGCATCTTTATTGATAATCTCCACTGATAAATACATTAAACTTTGAATCCTTTTGGGTGACTGCTAAAAATCTGAGCCCTTTCAGACTTTATGTTTAATGTGTGAGCAGAAAGGAATTTCAAAAGAGTTTCTTGAAACACCATTCTAATGATGCAGAGAACTGTCAACAACATAATTTTTTTACAACTAAATATTAAATATAAGCCTGCAGCATCTTTACGTTTATTTATTCTGTGGCTAAGAATTGATTTGTTTTAAAATTAAAACATCCTTTTAACTATTTCAAAACAGTCTCACCAAAAGACTGAAAATTCATTACATGCATTAAAGAAATATAGATTCATTTAATATGTTAATTATTTTAACATTTTAATAATTATTATTTTTTTATTTTAAACTGTTAATTTTTTAAATTTATTTTAATCTGTTAAATGGTTGATTTTATTCTTTAATTCTGAATACAAATTAACTGAAATTAGAAACTGATTTTGTAGAATAATTTAACTATTGAAGAATTCACTTTTGGCTTTTTGAATGTTTAAAAAATAACTGAAAGATTTTCAATATTTTTAAAAATGAAAGCAAAATTTTTTATCTTGTAATATTTTGTACTGATAATTCATTTTAAGTCTCTTGATGACTTTTAGATATATTTATAAATTATTAAATAAATTGAAACTCAGATTTAAAAAAAAAAAGTTGTATAAATTGTCAACAATTCTTATTTTTCCAAAGTCACAACAGGAGGAGGATCTGAGACTGTGGAAAATAAGTAGGTTTTAGATCATCACAACACCTTCATGCACTTTCACTGGAAAGTAAGGAAAATTCCTGGGGATATACTGAGATGAGACATTAAGCAGTAGGGAGTGTGTATTAAGGAGGTTAAAGGGATATTACAGATATAGTAACTAGCATTTCAAATCCTGATATCGTTCCATGTGCTGTCGATGGAACCTAATAGGATGTCCTGAGGATATACTGGGATGTGAAATTAAGCACTTGGGAGGATGAGTTTATGAGGAAACTGGTATATTAAGTAGGTCTACTAGTATCCCATAAATCCTAATAACATCCCACATGGTGTCAATGGGGGAATGTTCTGAGGATATAACGGGATGTGTTTACGAGATGTCTTGAGGATGTTGTAAGTAGGACTTCAGATCTTGATAACATCCCATACGCTGTCGATGGGATTTACTTAGGATGTCCTGAAGATTTACTTGGATCTGACATTAAGCACTCAGGAGGATGTGTTTAGGAAGTTTGGGGGACATTCCGATATGTCCTGAGGAAGTGTGCTTACCCACGAGCAACATTTTCGGGATATCCCAAGGATGATTTTGTGCTATGTGGGTAGTAAAGATAATGTTTAGACTGAGTGGCTAGATAGAGGTATTTAATTAGTTAATAAAACAATCTTCCACTGTTATAATGCTTGATGCATAAAGCATATATTTTTAAAACTAATAATTCTAAGCACTCAGTATACTATTTCTTCTACAAAAACTGTTATTAGTTTTAACATGAACTTCATTCTTATCTGGAGAGTAAAAAGTCATATAATCAACCTTATTCAAATTTTTAAAATGGAAAGAAAGATGGATGGGGAAGAAACTTTTAATGAATGAGCAGAAGTTTAATCTGAAGTATTTCTTTTTACATAAATTAAGTTATCACAAAGCAAATATTATTTATATACATTATATGTATTAGAAAATCATTTTTAAAATGCTACCTCAGAAAGATTATCTAAAAATTTTAAATTTAATAATTTTCATATGTAATAAAAATTCCTTTAATTCTCAGTCAAATGCATAACATATAAAATAAGTTACACTGTATAAAATTATTGTAGTTCTGCCATTTCTTGAAATGACTTCTAGCATTCATACAAGATCATTTGGAGAAAACATTTTAGATTTACCCAAAGAAAACTGAAAATATTTCATTTATCTGCAATTCATTCTTCAATATCATTGAAACTATCAAATACGCTATATTAAAATTTATGTAAAACCCTCCAGGCCATGCATCTCATTTTTGGATTATGAGTGATTCGATTTGATCTAGAACTTTCGTCGCAAATGGTCGAAAAATAATCGGATTAATTTAAAAATTTGTGTTTTTCACCTTTTGGGTTAGCTTTATAAGCAAAGACGTCTCACAGTAAGTATCTTTTGATAATTTATTAAAATGGAACAGAAAACACTAAATAAGAATCGAGCACATATACGTGCTTCTGTAACTCAAATTAATACAAATGTAGATGAGTATTTAAAACAAGAAAAACAAGAAGAGTTAGAAAATTGTTTGGAATTGTTAAATAGTAAAGAAACGGAACTACATGATTTAAATGAAAAAATACAAAATTTGATTGAAGATGAATCAAAATTAGATTATGATATTAACACTTCTATGGAATATAACGATAAAACAATAACAACGAAGTCTAAAATGAACCGTTATTTAAGGAAATCAAATCTTCCCCTACAACTACATTGAAAGCTAAAAAGACATCATCATCAGCTTTTCGTCCATGTAGGCACCAGCCAAAAATAGTTTCCGCTGCAACAAGATTTTTGCTTAAGTATTTAACGTGTCCCATTACTATGTTGTAATAATAATCCGCACCAATTAGAATGGCAATGGGTGTTTTACAATCGGGGAAAATCTGCAAGCATAAAATTTTTTAATTGTCTGTTTTGCTTAATTTCTTCTTATTTAGGAGGAGGAATATCTGTACCTGATATATGATCAGTTACTAATAATTCAACTTCTATTTTAGAATCAGAAGAACTATGTTCTAAAGTTAATTTAACTACATCATAATTATTTTGGATGGGTGAGGTATTCCCAAAAGTGTAGACAGACAATTTTTCTTTTCTTATGACTTCGAGGTTTAATATGTCCGCTAACTCGCGAGCACAAAAACTTTTCATACTTCCACTATCCAAGAGAAGTCTGACAAACACCTTTTCCTTAGCTGTTTTAACTTTTATCATGCACCTATCAAAAGAATTTCGTGAAATTAAGATATTCTGAATCTTTACTTGATTTACTAGAGTTTACAAGAAAATTTCAATCATTGTGACGAACCAATGCATTATGCAAGTGACTTGTCTATTAACATTTTTAAAATCCCATAATACTAAAAAAAGGTATAATTATAACAAAAATAGAATTAAAATTTAATTAAAATTAAATAAAATTATTCTGGATTCATCAGCATTTAAAATTGTGCCACCAAATTTGTCGGTAGAGTTCAGCAAATTGTCAACGTCTCGAAACAGATGACGAGGATCCAATAATTCTTACTCATAAATGTCATTCCAAAACATATTAATAGAACTCAAAAGTTTTATTCAAACAGCATTATTAGAACTCAAAATTTGTTCTTAAAATTAACTAAGATTTAGTATTCTGATTAAACGTGCAGATGCCTAAGAAACCAAGGATTAATAAGCCACTCTCTTCTGAATGCTCAGTGTACGCAAAAAAAAAAAAAAAAAAAAAAAAAAAAAAAAAAAAAAAAAAATTATTTTGCCAGATATGTTGATAATGAATTCAAATAAATAATTTTAAAATCTCAAGGCTTTGTTTCTGCATTTTATTTTGGAATGTAAAACTATGCCAAAGGCAATATATATTATTAAAAGTATTAATATATGTTATTAAAAAGTATATTACTGCAAAATAGTAAATGCAGTCTACAGTTTGCCATAGAATTTTGTCATTGCTTTTTATTTTTTATGCAAAGTACTCATGCATTCAAGTAGGACAACTGAAAAATTAATGCCACTGGGAAAAACAATCAAAGTACAGCTTCTTCAACAAAATGAAAACCAGCCCATTTCATTATAGAAAAGGTAATAAAAATTATGAAATAAAATAAATCTTACAAAAATACTATAAATCAGTACCTGTCTGCGTGTCGATAGTTTGCCAATAACCCTCACTTGGAGATGTTTCATTACATCCGGGCGGAGGCTGAGGAGGTTGCCCCGAGTAACGGAAAAATGGATTCTTCAGATCTAGTGTATTAAATGCCCTGATATTGCTCCCATCAATCGTTAACTCAATGTCTACATCATAACTTTGCCTAAAAAAGTAAATATAAAATTAAAAACATTAAAGGAGTGGAGAACAGTTGTATACACTTCAAACTTGATTTTATGTACTTCTTTTTTTTTGGGGGGGGGGGGAAGAAGGGGACTTTTTTAATATGATATATAAAAAAAGTCTATCATATGAATAATATGAATAAAAAGTAATTTAAAATGTAACAGATGGCTGATAGTTTCAAAATCACATGCAATTTAAAAAGAAATCAACAGATGGCCCACCAGATATTATATCATCACATTACAAACTGATACCAATTCTGAAAGAACTTTAAAACTACAGAATGAGCTTCGATGTTGTACATCTGATTTCCGCGACATATATAAACGACTAATGACTATAAACGACTAGCAAAAATTTATCAACCGACTATTCTGTATCAATAAAATTTCAACTCTGAACAAGTGCAAATAAATGTCAACTCTGAACAAGTGCAACTCTATCTCATCATGTAATAAAAGTGATTTTGAACCATTCTGCGTTTTTCCCTATGAAGAAAACTTTTTGCATGCACATTTGGGAATTTTCATACATTAATATTTAATGTAAAAGTAAATAAAACATATTAAAATGTTACCCTGCATAAATTAACTTTTGTCTTGCTTGGAAGCCAATTTCTAGCTACACTGTAAGGCTTATTTTCTATGTTGGAATTTTTTCACGTGGTTCCTCTTTATGGCTTTTTTTAGTGTGTTGCCAACAATGCGTTTTACAGATATTTCTGAAGTTTCAGATATTTTTTATCATGCTTTCTTTTATGCTGTCTCTATCCTCCACACAAAAACAGGTTTAAAGTAATACAGTCAAAAGTCTTTAATCCGGACTCGTCGGGACTTCAGCAATTCCGGATTATAGATCATCAAAGTCTTTACAAAAAAAAAAAAAAAAAAAAAAAAAAAAAAAAGCTTAATATTTATTTGTTTCCTTTATTAAACATTTCTTTCAACATGCACATGCGTAAAGCATATATTACGTATAGTCGAAATTAGAAAGTTGTAACCAGAAAACTATTTGATGTGTATTCGTGACATTTATAATGACGGGGAATTTGATTTAAATCAAATCAAAGACGAAGTACATCAAGATGAAATACTACATTTAGTAAGGAATTATAAAACAAATAAAATAAAAACATCTGCCCTGAAAATAGGGATAGCGCTGACAGATCAACTTCCAATTCATTGTGCGCCGCGACGTTCTCCTTCCCCGCAGAGCAGCGTGAAATTGATAAACAGATTTCGGAATGGTTAGAGAAACAAAGGACATGCCTTTTATCCATTTTTTGCAGCAATTCCACTTTTTGTTTGACGGACATCGAAACATGCTTTCGCTTCGTACATCCTTTGGCAGCTCCAGAATCCGAATTCTTTTTGACATAATCGAAAGTTCAAGCTTACATTTATAAAATTGCTCTAAAGCTGGATCCAATTAGAAGATTAAAGAACAATGCAATCTGCAACATTAACAGACATAGATAATTTTAGCTTAGCTTATACTATCTGTTATACATTAAACGTGCACGCATAAACGTATTATGCGAATTCGTAAACGCATATGTGTATGCGTAAAGGTATGATGCACATGCGTAAAACACATATGCGCATGCAATTCGTTTACGCATGCGCAGAAAGTTTGTAGCTTTGAGGCTCGGGTTATAGATCATTCTGGATTATGGACGTCCGGATTAAAGACTTTTGGCTGTAAATAAAAAAAAAAAGTTCCGATCGCGTGGCTGCATCGAGTCAAGAGAATTTAGGACCCACAGAAACTGCATCAGGCAGTCAGCTATCTAGCGCCTGCTCTCAATAAGGCTTAAGCATATGGTGGGAATTTATTTATTCAGAACTCTGATAAGCCTTAAGCATGTGCAAGAAATAGACATAGATATAATAAATAACTAAACTAATACGATTCAGGCTTAATTGTCTCAGTGCATGATAGAAGCAAGATAAAATTTAACGGAACAACTTGTTGTTAGTTGCCAAGCTCATGATGCATAGTGAAGAATAGCTAAATTTGATGATGATAGCTGCAAATTTTAAAGGTTTTCGGATATTGCAAAACAAAGGTGAAATTTTCCAATTAATGGATTTTGTAAAGAAATGTGGAGAAGCGGTAATAAATGAAGATTATATAAAAGAAGTTTCATTATGATGACAATGCTTTTCAATCATCAATCAATTAACGAATGGCGAAATCTGTAGTATGGTTTCACATCCAGAAAAAACCGCTACCGATAGTGAAGAAAGTGACAGAAGTTACTGAAAACGAGAAAATTTCAATTGACAAGTTAGTCGGAATTCTCGAAACAGCAGTTACAGGACTTCAACAATGTAAGTAAAGAAATCACGATTGTCTACAGAATTAAAGAGAAAGTATTAGCACAAAAAAAAAGAAGAAGAAGAAGAAGAAGAAGAAGCGCAACTTGCATTGAAATGTTTAATAAGGTAAACAAATATATATTAAGCTTTTTTTTTTTTTGTAAATTTTGATACTCTTTAGATCAAAAATACTTCATTATTTCATAAATCCAGATTTCATATTTTTAATTTTATAAATTCTACATGCCATCTTACTAGATTTAAACTGATGATCTATTAACCGCAAAAATCCCAAATCTGGAATCGCTGAAGTCCCGACGAGTCTGGATTTCAGACTTTGTACTGTAGATAATATTAAAAAAATAACAATGCAGATGTAATAAACACTTAAATATTTCTTATGATACAAGAAAGATTAAGAATAAGATTATACATAACTTTTATAACTTGCTTTGAAAAGGTGCTTCTGGGTGTTTGATAGAGTATTTGGGGAATTGTTCATCTTGAATTGCTGAAACCTGGAAAAACTGTTAATGTAGACCTTTATTGTGAACAACTGGATCTAGTGAACTACTCTTTAATCGAAAAATATCTGGCGATTGTCAATGGAAAAGGCGTCATTCTGCAACACGACTGCTGTGCAAGACGAACACTGGAAAAACATAATGAATTGGGGTGGGAGGTACTGCCTCACCCACCATATTCGCCCGATATCGCACCCTCGGATTTCCATTTATTCCAATCCCTACAACATTTTCTTAGTAACAAAAAATTTCAAAATTTTGATGATGTCCAAAATGCCATCTTGAGATATTTTACTCAAAAACCAATTGATTTTTATTGATCTGGGATTGAAATCTGCATACTAGATGGCAAAAGGTTGCTGATAACGAGGGTGATTATACTATTGATTAAAAATAAAAACTTGCTACAAATTTATTGATTTGAATTTAATGTAAGAAAGCGACATTACTTTCCAGTCCCCTTATTAGATAGTCTCAAAAGACACCTTGTAGTTAGGGAAAAGTTCTCAGCTCACTTGTTTCTCTGTCTATCTACCACTTGCTCAATTCCTCATCCCTCTGTTACTAATATTACACAAAAACTCGAGCATAAATCACTGTTGGCGATTTGATAGAATTTTTTAGTAAATGAAATTTAACTTACATTTTTGGGAAAGTAGAATTTGGTAACAGTTAACTTATCTCTCCGGACTTGAAATCTAGGAAATTATTATTACTTAATATCAAGTAGTGATATGATAACGGTTATCACTAGTTGATTTAGTCAATTTATTACTTGCCCATATGTTTATTTCACATTACATGAGTGCATTTAGAAACAACAACTGTAAGCTAGCCAGTGCAAAGGGCTGATTTTCGAAAAGCAGAGTTAAGGGATATACAGAGTGATTCTAAATTGTTTTTAGAAATTAAAAGGGGTGACAGTACCCATCCGGACAAGCAATACTTACCATAGAACATAGGGTCGCATTCCACTCCGAGAGGCAGAAATGAGGAAAGTAGAAACGGATCAAGGAAGAACAAGGGGACTATCTCCTAAGGACTATCAAGAATTAACTGCATGAAAATTGGCACTGTGAAGAAGCAGCATTCTACCCTTAATTTGTAGCAGAGAAAGCCAATCTGTGCAAACGGTGTCCTTAAAAAAAGCACAACATCATCGCTTCAAGTATTACTTAGTAACATCATCCAAACTTTTCGTGAATGCTGTGGTGAAATATAGGTAGGAGAAATTGGCAGATATTCACCTCACATACGGTGAAGTAAAAGGGAATGGACGTGAAGCACGAAAATTGTACAAACAGTGGTTTCCACTCGTCAGATTCCAAGTCATCCAACCTTTTCAGATTTGATTAAAGAATGCAAGAAACCAATTCTTTTGCCATCTCAAAAAGCAATGGAGGACGTTCGCAAAATGTACGAACGCCAGAAATGGAAAAGCGAGTTGTCAGCATTCTGAGCGCTTTCTGTGAGTTTTCCACTAAACAATACATCTGATTGCATAATTTTTGGTCTTGTTCATTCGCTTTCCCAACACTATTGTTAGTTCAGGTTGGAATTCTAATATTCCTCTTTTCTGCCTCTCAGAATGGAATGCGACTCTATGTTCCATGGTAATTATTACTCGTCTGGATGGGCACTATCATCCCTCTTAATTTGTAGACAATTTAGAATCACCCTGTATATTACACACTGATTATAGTTTTCCTTATCTCATAAATAAAGAGAGACTTTTTTTCAGATGCTTGGCAAAACTAAAAACCAAGACTGTAATTCGAAATATAAATGGATGGATTGGATTATTCAGTTATGGCAAAGCACACGAGGGCTATCTGCCTAAAGGGAGGGATGCCTTTCGTGGAGGACTTTCTAAGGGAAACTGGCTCGTATACACGTTACACATGGGGAAAACCACGAAAACGCCCATGCAGCCAGCCCGTTCGCGGGATTCGAACCTCAGACCGAACTACCAGTGTTCAGCGTCTTTACCGCTCGGCCGCTGGTGGGCCCGAAATATAAATGTATATATAATGTTATACACCACTGAATGTTTTTAACATACATTAATGTAGTACAATGTCCGAGATCCAGACTCGTTGGGAGTTCAGCGATTCAGGATTTGGGTTTTTTTC